ACCCCCCCCCCCCCCCCCCCCCCGACACAAGAATAAGGGCACAGCTGTACATGCTACTCAAAAGTAACAACACACACACGCGTCCACACGGCCGAGTCCAGGCGGCAGGAGGCTAGGCATGCAGCAGGATGCCGATGGCGAAGTCGAGCCGGAGTCAGAAGACGGCGGCGCGCTGGCACAGACCGTATTCCCCCCGCGTCGGCCGAAAACCTACGAACTGAAAAAGGGACAGGTGCGCTCAACAACAACTTTTGATGTAGCTGTACCTTACTGTGTTGCAGCGGTTGCACTTTTGATTACTGTAGTCGGAGGGCAGCAAGTAGTTTCATTTTTTTTTTCTCCAGTGGGTTTGATGCGTTTATGGTGGTTTTGGTTTTGGCACACACAGGCTCTTGTGTTTTTTGTGAACACCTGGTCGTGCAGCGTACCCTACAGGCAAGTGCGTTACTTCTGTCGTGTGACTTTGCTGCGTGTCATCTGCGGATAGCAACGGCATATATTTTATCCGGGTTGTCGCGTAGCCCTGCGGGGTGAAGAGTGGGCTAGCACCGACAACGGTTTCAACCCCAAACCGTTCTTGTCAGCGTCATCGCGTTCGGGTACAACGATTGAATTTGCGACGGCCCGTGGTTTGCATCGTTGCCTACGATGGCCAAACAGCTGCTGCTACCATCGTTGTTGTTGTTAATGGATTTCTCCCAGGGGCTCGTTGTGAAGTACATTATCGGCACCGGCACGGCAGTCGGTCCGGCACTTACGCCTATCCCTGCGACACACGTACATGCTGAGTGACCCACATGAGCGGTACTCTGAACATTACGCCCGTGCTCCTCCATCGCCCACCTTTCGGTGCCCGTGTGTGATCGAAATTCGCGTCTGTGTTTTTTTTTGTTGTCATCGCCGGAGGTCAGGTGGGTGTGCGGTTCATTAACACTAGCGGGGACCCCGACGTCTGCACGGCAGCCTACCCGGGGGAGATCGTCACCAAGGTGTGTTTTGGTCAGTAGTTTGCGGGGGGTTTCCAAGTAAGCAAGCAAACGTATTTTGGTTAAAGTATATAATCGGCCAAATTAGGGTAACGTATGGAATCAGCTAAGTTAGGGTAAGGTATAGAATCAGCTAAGTTAGGGTAAAGCACAGAATCAGCTAAGTTGGGGTAAAGTATAGAATCAGCTAAGTTAGGGTAAAGTATAGAATCAGCTAAGTCAGGGTAAAGTATAGAATCAGTTAAGTTAGGGTAAAGTATAGAATCAGCTAAGTTAAGTTAGGGTAAAGTATAGGGTAAAGTATAGAATCAGCCAAAGTTAAGTTAGGGTAAAGTATAGGGTAAAGTATAGAATCAGCCAAAGTTAAGTTAGGGTAAAGTATAGGGTAAATAATATAGAATCAGCTAAGTTAAGTTAGGGTAAAGTATAGGGTAAAGTATAGAATCAGCTAAGTTAAGTTAAGTTAGGGTAAAGTATAGAATCAGCCAAAGTTACGGTTAGGGTTGAGGTCTGCGTGTACCCCCTCCCCTGCCTGGTCTTTTTTCGCGGTAGACTCGATTTCTTTGGGTAGTCAGTCCGTTTTGGTGTACTCGATCGTGGCACCGATCTACCGGTCTGTCCCCTGGTATGTTGTATGGGACACTATGATACGCCGGAGCCTCCATTCTTGCTGTAGACGTGGCTTTAGCCCACCCTGCTGTACCCCCAAGGAGGATGTACCTTTGGTGTCCGAGGCCCTATTCTCGATGCTCCGCGTGGGTAGTGGTTAGACGTGTCTACACGAAAAGCCGGGGCATTATTTTGAGAACGGGGAGGAATGCGAAGGACAGCCGAGCCGGCATGGACGGAAAACAGAGGGATGATCGGCAGCGGAGAGGGGGGGAGGGCAAGAGAGTGGCTGGGAGAAGAGAGAGAGTCGACACAAGAGAGAGAGAGGGAGCCCAGGAAAGACAGTATGGATGGAGGAGCAGGATGGCATTTCCAAGGGAAAAATGAAAGAGCACGACAAGCTCATGAGCCTTACTTGTAGAGCGCAGCCGCAGCGACGGCGGCGGTCTCCACAGCGTCACAGACAGCAACAGCAGCCGCAGCAGTGGCAGTGGCAGTAGCAGTAGCAGCAGTAGCAGTAGCAGTAGCGGTCAGGATGCCGTACAGCGAACATTTGTCACTTGCATGCCCACCTGTGTTGTAGTTCATGAAGAAGAACGGCAGAGACAAAGAGGGGGGGGGAGTGCTTTGGAATCGGACTTACAGCTCAAAATGTCTGCACCCGTGCCTACACACCAAGGCAATCCTACTGCAAACCCGCGTTCACCCTCGTTGATGCTGCCTTTTGTTCCCTCCCTTCATGTCGACATGCTAGACTACGTGTCAGCCTACGACTCCCTTCAGATGTATCATCTCTGCTTAGTCTTGTTTTCACCGGCATGTGTATATCTCATTGCTGGTTGGGCTGCAGGTGGCAAAGCGATGCGGGGTGAAGATCGCAACCGCATGCAACTCCGGCATCTGCGGCACGTGCATGACGGACCTCGAGGACGCCAACGGCAAGAGCTACAGGCCGGGTTTCCAGGTCGTGAGGGCGTGCGTAACTCCGGTGAGAGAGGGAAAGCGTTGTGGTTCATCTCGTTGCTGCTTCTTGTTTTGCGCTAAATAGAAAGGGGCCAGGGCACGAGCGTTCGGCGTTACAAGGTTGAATTGCTGGTGCTTGTTGTTAGCGCTAGAAATACGTCAGGCACGAAACGTCCGGCGCTAAAAGGTTGGAGTGAGTCGAAGAGGCGGGTGAGATACGTTGGCGTGGGGGTGAGAGGGGGTGTGGGAATAGAGTGCGACGAGGACAAAGGGGGGGAGAATGCCGAAAGCTCAACATGGAGGAGTATTTAGTTCATCCTATCGTGTATATCACACGTTGCGTCGGGCTTCAATCCCATCTCGTAAGTATGTTACGCTCACCCCTTTTCATGCAAAAGTTTGTCCTGTCCTGGATGTTGCACGTTGCGCCAGGTTTCGATCCCATGTCGAAATTTTGTTGAAAATACGCCTTTTTCCGGTTTCGACAAAGGCTTTCTGGCGGCAAAACCACTCCAAAGGTTTAGCATGGACGCAGCCGCTCACACGACCTGCGATTCGTGCCGACCGCTTAGGGTTGCGCGGATCCGTGCCAATCTGTACACAAAACGGCCATGCGTAGTATCACTGATGTGACTCCCCCCCCCCCCCCCGGATTTTCCCCTTATTTGTTTTTTTTTGTGGGAGGGGACCCTCCTGGCCGGGGGCAAAAGAAAAGGGTTTGGACATCTACCCCAACCGGGCCAAAAGCGGGAAGCTCAACAACCGCCTCGGTAGGGGACTGATTTTTTTTTTTGTGGTGCCGCTGGCATTTGCTGCTGCTGTCGCTTGTGATATCTCGTGTGGTGCTGGTAGTGTCCGGTGCTACATATTGCTGGCGGTTACCTGCTTTCACGGACCCGGGTACCTGATGGCTCCCTTTGCCTGCTGGATGCCATGACGTACGTCCAGCGAACGGTTGTTGATCGCGCAATGCTTTTGGAAGCCGGGGCGTCGGTTAGAGACGGGTGCCTCTCGTCTCGACGCAGGCATGTCGTCGATGGTGGCAGGCCTCGAGCGAACAGCAAGCTAGGAATCCTCCTCTCTGCTTTGCTTTTTCGTGGTTGTACAATGGTGGGTGTCTCATGCTCTGAATAGACGGCAGTGCCGGGTGCCCGATATGTATAGTGCACTTGAATCTGGCAAGCGCATGCCGCCGCTACCAAGGGACCCCCACTGCTGTTGTACGGGGACGTAGTCCCCAGCCAATCGAACAACCAAGTCACCCCCCCCCCTCCCCCTCTTTTCCCTGAAACCCCTCGGCAGCCGGTTCGAAGGGGAAGAGGAAGGGAGAGAAGATGGAAGCGGAAACGGTGGTGGACGCAATGAAGCGGTTCGAGGAGGGCTGGGAAGACGAGTACCAGGCAAGCACGCCGCCGCACATGACGGTGTACCGCCCCCCCCCGCGCGCCCCTCAGCCCACAACTCGTTTACTTCGTTTTTAGTAGTATGTATACCGATGCTGAGCCGTGATGTTGGTTCGTGAGAAGGTCTGTCTCGTGAAGGCATTAAAACGCAATCACTACCACCACTTCTTGTGTATTTTTCACGGCTCTGTCCAACTTGGACTTAGGACAGCGCGAATTCCCCTTCAATTTCGTACCGAAGCGCGCCTTACATTGCTTGAAAGTTCTCGACCAAAGGACCTAAGCACCAACTAATAATTGTTCCCACTTTTTTTTTCTTCTGACGCGTGTCTTGTACAAGCCCCGGGGAAGTTTCTGCCCTCTCCCCTCTGATGAAAGTTGACCAAGGGAAGAAAGCGTATGTCGTTTAACTTTTCATGGGCACTCTCTCTCGTGGTCTCATGACCGAAGTCGAGGGGTATCTGAAGAGGAGCTAGGCACGAGATGGCGAGAAACCTCTGCTGCTGTCACGCATTCATTCACGGTCAAGTCCACCCTCCACGTTTTTCATCCCTTAACCTCCGTTTTTTTTTTTGTTCTTTTGTGACACTGCCGTGCCCCCCGCACGCATTCCCACACGCCCCCACCACATGGGCGGACGTGAATGTGCAGCCTGACGGCAGCAACGACGACAAGAACACACCGGCCTTCGTGAGCAAGAACTTCGCCGGTACTCTAGTGGACCCCATCACAGTCAGGACTCCCATCTCATATGTGCGTTCCAGTTTTTTTTGCTGCTGCTGCTGCTGCTGCTGCTGCTGCTGATGAAAATTGTTGTGCGTTATTGTTGATTGATCATGATGTTTTTTTTTTTTATATCGTAGTTGTTGATACTTTTTGATATTTGTTGTCGTTACTGCAGCACGGAATAATATTTTACTCTCGGTTTTTGTCCACTCCATCGCGACGCTTATCTCTGTCTCTCTCTCTCTGTCTGTGTGTCTCTCTCTCTCTCTCGATACGTACCTGTCTCCTCTCTCTGTTGCTTCACGCGAGGCAACTGATCGGTGCGAACGCCGTGTACGCACGTGCGCGTGTCCCATCTGTTTCTGGCGCCAGTCTACTACGTACCGTTCGGTGTACATGTGTATATCACCCCCCGGGGGGTCATCGCACAGGATCCAGCCACTGACAAACGACCGCGTTTTGTCACACTGTGCCACGCACCGCATCGTTGCCGTCGACGCTGCTTCCCCCCCCCCCCCCAAAAAAAAGCCCAAAAACCCATGGAAAAAAAGTACATGTACCAACACCTCCCGGAAAAAGTGAGG